GGAATGGCGTTTTTATCGGCGCCGCCTCGGAACTCGACCTTCCGGCGCCCGGGCGCCGGCTCGGGCGCCACCCGGGCGTCCGGCCCGGGAGCCGCTCTCGGCGGCGAGCGAGAGCACCGAGCCCGAGTAAGAAAGGAGGAAGTCTCGAGCCGGAGCGTTGTTGTTGTTGGGGGGCCGGTTTTGGCGGAACCCCAAAACGCCTGAGCGTGAGCCTCAATTTCTGAGGAAATGCGGCCGGCGCCTCGGCGAGAGCGCCAGGGCGAATATAGGGTGTCCAACAATAATAATTGTTTAGCAATTTAGGTTCAACAACAACAACAACAACAACAACAACAACAACAACAACAACAACAACAACAATCATTTTACCCAAAAAAAAGAACCCTCATGTTTCTCACCAGTGGCAGGGTTTATCATGCGGACGCGAGACCAATACCCCCACCTTCGTGGGGGGGCAGTTAAGCTCTACCAATATCCAAACGACTCTTCGCGACCACCCAAACCGCTTCCCGCCCTAATGAACGTGGGACACTTCGACTTCGTGGCGTGCGGAACAACCGTGGCTACTACACTGGAGTGGGTACACACCCACAGCACTTGGTGACTTGGTTCACTTATTCGGGGGGGCGCGTGTGCCCACTCCTGCAATTGTGACATACAATACATGCCACAGACAGGACAGAGAGAGAGACAGAGAGCAGACAGAGAGAGACAGAGAGAGGGCGGAGTTTGGTTCACATTTTTGGGGGCAAGTTCCTGAATCGTCGGTGTTTTTTGTTTGGTCTTGCGCGCGTGAATGTCCACTTTACTTTTTTTGGCAAGGGAGTATTGAAATTTGATTATGTTAGAACAAGAAAAAGTAGCTCGCGCGAGCTCATGTAACATAAATGTGGAAAAACCATTGGTTTTGTGGGAGTCGGACAGAGCGCGCGGGATGAAATTTGGACATTTTTTTTTGAAAACGCATTGGGTTTTTGATGTTTTTTATTGTTGAATCGTTACGAAACTAGGTTCTTGGAAGGATTTTCGTCTTGCGCGCGCGAATGTCCCCTTTACTTTTTTTTGCAAGGGAGTATTGAAATTTGATTATGTTAGAACAAGAAAAAGTAGCTCGCGCGAGCTCATGTAACATAAATGTTGAAAAACCATTGTTTTTGTGGGAGTCGGACAGCGCGCGCGGGATGAAATTTGGACATTTTTTTTTGAAAAACCATTGGGTTTTTGATGTTTTTATGTTGAAATCGTTACGAAACCTAAGGTTCTGGAAGGATTTCGTCTTGCGCGCGCCGAATGTCCACTTTAAACCTTATTTTTTCAAGGGAATTCTTGCAATTTGATCAAGTACGAACATTGATCAACTAAGAACACTAATTTTCATTTTATAGTGTTTTTTGCAAGGGAAAACGGATTACAACAAAACAACCGGATCTGGACCCCATCCACTTTTCTGAAGCTTTCGCGAAACAATGATGAAAATGTAGCTGCGGCCTAGGCGCGGCGGGGGGGCCGTGCACCAGGGGTCCCAACAATAATTATTCTTTAGAATTAATAATGTTCAACAACAACAACAATTACTAGCACGTGGGGACACTCCGTTCTCACCAGTGCCAGGGTTTTCATAGGAGGCGGGCAATACCCCCACTTTGTGGGGGGGCCGTTACAAGCTATACCAAATTTCCAAACGACTCTTCGCCACCACCCACACCCAGCTTCCCGCCCTATGACGTTCGGACACTTCACTTCGTGGCCTGCGGACGACCGTGGCTACTACACTGGCGCATGGGTACAGTGACTTGTTGTGGTAACATTTTCACGCTAGCTTAGTATACAAATGTTTTTCGAGGACCTACGGTGCGATTCGTATGATTTTATGTTGCGCGGTGCTAAAATTCCTCAGAAACCCAATGGTTTTTGAAGATTTCGGCGTGCGCGCGCGAAGAAAAAACGAATGTGTCCCGCATGGTATTATTTGACAGGGATGATGGCCCGGGCAGGTGCGCAACCGTTGTCGCAGAAGTTCGAAAAAGTTGCTCGCAAAAGCCCGTTTGACAGAAATGTTTAAAAAGTGTTGGGTTTCCTACGAATCCGCAAGAGCGCGCGGGATGAAAATTCGACATTTGTTTTTGAAAAACCTTTGGTTTTTTTATGTTTTTTTATGTTAAAATCGCTACGAAAACTAAGGTTTTGGAAGGATTTCGTCTTGCGCGCGCGAATGTCCACTTTACCTTATTTTTTGCAAGGGATTCATGAAGTTTGGTTATGTTAGAACAAGAAATGTCCACTTTAGCTTATTTTTTGCAAGGGAAAACCGATCGTAACAACACAACCGGATCCGGACCAACCCGTTTTGCCTGAGACTTCCTCACGAAAATGATGAAAATGAGGCTGCGGCCTAGGCGCGGCGAGGGCCGCGCACCAGCCCAACAATTATTAGTCTTTAGAAGTAATAATGTTCAACAACAACAACAAACTCAAGCAAGCAGCAGCAGCAAACAGCACGCATCATCACAACAATCATACAACAACAACAATCACACCAACAACAACAACAACAACAACAACAACAACCAACAACAACAAACAACAACAAACAACAACAACAACAACAAACAACAACAACAACAACAACAACAACAACAACAACAACAACACGACGACGACGACGAACGACACGACAACTACAAACAACAAACGACAACAACACCAACACAACAAACTCAACAATCACAATCACAACAACAACATCAACTACAACAACCACTATTACGACTCTACTACTACTGACTACTACTACTAATGCTGCTACTACAACAACCAACAACAACAAACAACAAACAATAACACCACAACAACAACAACAACAAAGCAAAACAGACAACAACAACAACAACAACAACAACAACAACAACAATCATTTTACCCGAACGCGTGGTGTTCTCACCAGTGCCAGGGTTTTCATACGACACCAGGCAATACCCCCACTTCGTGGGGGGGCAGTTCAAGCTCTACCAAATATCCAAACGACTCTTCGCGACCACCCAAACCCAGCTTCCCGCCCTATGACGTTGGGACACTTCACTTCGTGGCGTGCGGACGACCGTGGCTACTACACTGGCGTGGGGTACACACCCACAGAACTTGGTCACTTATTCGGGGTCGTGTGATTTTATGATGCGCGGTGCTAAATTCTTAAGAAGAATGGTTTTTGGAGATTTCGGCGTGCGCGCGCAAAAAACGAATGTGTCCCGCATGGTATTATTTGACAGGGATGATGGCCCTGGCAGGTGCGCAACCGTTGTCGCAGAAGTTCGAAAAAGTTGCTCGCAAAAGCCCGTTTGACAGAAATGTTTAAAAAGTGTTGGGTTTCCTACGAATCCGCAAGAGCGCGCGGGATGAGATTTTGACATTTTTTTGTTGAAAAACCATTGGTTTTTTGATGTTTTTATGTTGAAATCGTTCCGAACACTAAGCTTTTGGAAGGATTTCGTCTTGCGCGCGCGAATGTCCACTTTACCTTATTTTTTGCAAGGGATTCTTGAAATTTGATTATATTAGAACAAGAAATGTCATTTTATAGTGTTTTTTTGCAAGGGAAAACGGATTACAACAAAACAACCGGATCTTGATCAACTCGAATTACCTGAGGCTTCCTCACGAAAATGATGAAAACGTGGCTGCGGCCTAGGCGCGGCGGGGGGGGCGCGCACCAGGGGGCCCAACAATAATTATTCTTTAGAATTAATAATGTTCAACAAAAGTGAAGGCAGAAGGGGGAAGGGAGGACAAAGAGATATGGGAGACTGGGATGAGGAAAGACCAGACAGCGTAGGGAGCACCGAGGGCAGTGAAAAATAGCATCGGCGGCGCCGACAGAGGGCCAAGCACGCGCGCGGCGGCAGCCTGTTAAAGCCGACAACTACTCTGTTGATCGTCGTGTCTTCGGAGTTTGCCGATCGGCTGAGTGCCAGCCACGACAGCGCCAAAACAAATCGGTCACACGTACCGATGTATCTCCGTGCGTGGGCCGTGTCCTCGCTCGTTGTTGCGGCTCCCCGAGGGGGGGGGGGCACCTCGCACTTGCCGCCTTCGCCGCCCGTTGTTGCGCACCCAAGGCGCGCCCAGGGACAAAGCGCTAGGACAGCGCGGATGGCCCACTGCGGCAGACCAACGCCCCGCGCAAAAAGCTCCACGCTACCGCCAAGCACGACGACAACACGCTGAAGCGCCCGCACGAGCATGGGAGCACAACGCGCGTCCATTGCGCGGACATCCAGGTGAGCGAGAAGGTGCGCCCACGAAAACGCCCCGAACGCTGCTTCACAAACCTGCGGACACGACGGAAGGGAGAAACAGGCAGCCCACGACGGGGAGAAGAAGTAGGCAGCCATCGGGGGAAGGGCTGAAAGGGCTCCAAGAAGGTTCCGAAGACTCACCAGAGCGCCTGGGGGGACAGCTCCAGAGAGATTACCATGGCACTTCAAATGGTGATTCAGCATGGGCGGGCGGAACGAGCGAATATGTAGACCAAGAGAAACCATCGAGGAAGCAGTGATAGAGCAACATTGAATTCCTCGCAGGTCGTGGGGTGCACGCCAGGACCTGGTAGAAAATGGGCGTTCGCGGCCATGAGCTTCGGGCAAGCTTTTCGGAGGCCGTCTTGGGGGCCCATCTCGGCAGTCTTCGCGCCCTCTTGGAGCCTTCAAGGGCAGTCTCGGGTGTCTCTTGGGCCGTCTTGGGGGTCTCTTGGGCCGCTTTGGGTCCGTCCAGGATGCTTTTTGGACCACATTGAGGCCTTCTTGGATCGTCTTGGGGCCCTCTTCGGGCCATCTTGGAAGCGTCTGGGCCTGTCTTGGGGTATCGGAATCCAGAAGCAAAAGCAGTGTCGTTTGCCTGGAGGCCTTCTTGGGGGTCCTCGTGGGGCCCCCTTGGGCCGTCTCGAGATCGGGACTTCTTGGGGGCCCCTTGGCCCGTGTTGGGGCCGTCTTGTTTTTTTTTGTTTTTGTGCGGCGAGGGTGCCGGGAGACGTCTCAAGATATGATGCGTACGCGCGGTGACCTCTGGGGCGCGTCACTTTTGGACATGGCCCACTCGCTTGCCTTGTGCTGTAATGGCGGAGCCGGTCGCAATAATGAGCGCGGAGTCCCGTTGTCGGGCACATCGCTATGCCTCCCACACTTGCGCACCAACTGCTGGGAGCCTGGCGCACAGAGTAAGAGCCATCAAACATGGCCCCCTGTAAAAGGCCAGCGCCGCGCGAGCCCCCTCGCCGCCAGCGCGCGCGCGCCAGATACAAGACGGGGCAAACTCGCGACTAGGATCTGCGTCGCATTACGATGTCCAAAACATTGCAGATGCGCTATGCAGATTGCCGAATTCGAAGCACCGCTGTAAATGCCAAAAAACAGTCACGAAGCTCGGGTGGCATATGAAACCTACAGACCTGGTCAACTGCCCAGGTTCGCGTGGCCGACCTGTGTGCCGTCCGACCTGCCAGCGCCGATCGCTTACATGTTAGACCGACGCGCTATCGCGATCAAGCGATAGAGGCATTGTTCTGACTCTCGTCCTCGCTCTCGCTCTCCTCCTCGTCTGCATCCTCTTGCCACTCGGGGTCGGCAAAGCCAGGCTGTTGGTCAACAATGGGAGGTGTGGGAATTGACATGGCATCTTCGAGGCGCGCCGTCTTCCCTCGATGCTTCCTGCGGAGGTGCAACACCACTACGTTGACCAAGTCCAGAGCCGCCAACCCGGCACAAGCGTAGAAGAAAGGGTTGTAGGAGGCGGTACTGCTCGCAACGGCTGCACCAGAGGTGTCCTGGAGGAAGATGTAGTACCCCCCCACGGGCCCAGCAAACTTGCCCACGCCCACACCCACCTCGAGAAGGGGAAGGACGTTGGCCAGATCCTTCGCGCCGTACAGCTCGAGGGCGAGCAAATTACGCAGGGTGCTCGAGCCCGCAAACGAGGCGCCAGTCAGGGAGTTGGCCACGATGAGCCAGCAGATCGGGAGGTGCTTCACGATAGCAGGGCAGCATGCATAGAGCGCGGCGCTGCTTGCCAACAAGACCATGTGGACAGGCATCAGTGGGAAGCGCTGCGTCAGCAGCGGGAGCCCAATGCGCATCAATGCGTAGACTGCGAGGACAAAGGCTGCAAAGTAGGCCGACTGGAGGTAAGTGACATCATAGGTCGTCTGGAAGATGGGGCTAAGCAGGGCCTTCAGGCCGAAGCCAAAGAAGAAAATCGCGAAGAAGTGGAAAAGTAATTGCCAGAATTGCAGCGAGCTCAACACAGAAATCGTGCTGAACTCGGGCGACGTAGAGCGAGCCGGGGCATTGGAGCTTGCGTCCATCGCAGCTTGCGGAGGAGCATGCAACCCATCGGCGAATGTGAGCCACAACGGGACCAACGTCGCCGCGAAGACGACAGCCGCCAAGATGTACATCGCAGACTCCAAGCCGAGACCATCAATGAGACTTGCTGAGAGAAGCGTAAATGCCACGGACCAAAGCCCAACAGAACCCCCCATCATACCGGCCCCTTTGGCTTGCTCCCCTGTGAGAGCCCACCACTGAACTGCCACGATTTTCTCGACAAACTGAGCTGCCGTCAAGCCGACGCCACCTACAGCAGCCCCGAAATACTGCACCCAAAAACTTCCACCTCCTGCAGTCACGCCGATGGACAAAGGGAACACAAAGGCAGCCACAGCCAAGATACCTAGCGCCCGCACACCGACGATCTTCCTGCGAAGAAGGAGCGCCAACAAGGGGAAGTACACACATAAGGCCATGAAAATGAAGAACCCTGGCTGTGTAACTCCCGGGGCGAACCAATGGGACATGCCTGACGGCACCGCTTGGTTCATGTGGTCCACCCACGTCGAAGAGCCAACATAGATCCCAGGGATTGCATCAAGGCACATTGCTGCAATCGTAGCCTTCCACTTTAGACGCTGCTGCTCAGCGCTCAAGGGAACCACGCCACACTTGCCCTCATCGCAGGGCTTCGACTTCAAGCCCTTGACCTTCTCAGGCTTACCATGAGTCGTTGTCGCCATGCTAGCAAAGCGATAATGGAACCCAATATTGTGTGAGATGTCCGACCTGCTGCTGGGCCGCCGCACTCTCGCTTTAGATCCCTGAGCAGAGACGCTTGAGCCGAAATGGCTATGGGGCCGCCTTGGCCCCTTGAGCCATGTTGGGCCGTCTTGGGCCGTGTTGGAGCCATCTTGGGCTATCTCTGGAGGAGCATTTAAACATACCAATAACACGCCGCCAGGGGGAACCCATCAGCGCGTTACTGCTGAGAAGAACCTGCCTTCGGACAAAACAGCAAACAAAAAAAACACGATGACGAGCTCCTAACAGCGGCGTAGTATTGATGCTCTTTTCCCTTACCAAATCTTGAGACCTCCTGAGCCGTCTCGATGCCTCTTCGACCCTCAAGATGCCCAAGAAACCACAATCGTGTATTGTCCTTCGATTGCTTGTGCAGTGCTAACCAGGGCACGACAGAGGACAATGTTTCGAAGTTGGGCTGCTTCGACGTATCGTGGCTTGACCCTTGCGCCACTCATCTATTCTTCGGACTGCCAAGATGCCTCGCTGCAGTCCAGACGTAGAAGAAATTGAAGCACACGCCGCCACTGTTGACCTGCTGCTGCTTGCACCTCGCCGCTGCCCTGGACCGCCGACACGTGCGCGCTAGGCGCCACTGGAAGACGAGCACGTTGCATGAACATGAACTGCTGGAGGTCAGCACGGATTTCTTGGACGGGCGCTGGAACCCCCTCCCTGGGGCGCGCCCGCCCGCGCCCAGCGCCGATCCAAGAAAGCCGGGCGGAGCTCCGAATGTTTCTGTTCGTGTCGTCTGTTCTTCCTCTGGAAACGTGCGCGCCGGGTTTGCCGCCGGGCGGTGCGCGCGACGCGGGACCACTGCGCTTTGACGCAAAGCGGATGAGGAGGAGCGGGCCAGGAGGTCGCTTGGGAGGGGGACGAGGGACGAGGCCAGGGAGAGGAGGAGGAGGAAGAGGAGGAGGAGGAGGAGGAGGAGGAGGACTCTTGGGGCCTTCTGGGAGCTTCTCGTGGGTCTCTCGGAGGCCTCTTGGAAGCCTCCTTGGGCCTCTTGGAAGCCTTTTGGGGCTTCTTGGGGGCCTCTTTGGCCGTCTTTGGGCGTTCCTGGCCCGTCTGACGCCGTCGGAAGCCGTCTTGGGTGCCTCTCTGGACCGACTTGGGGCCTTCTTGGGGCCCTTGAGGGTCGTCTTGGAGGCCATCAGGGCCGTCTTGCAGGTCTCTTGGGCCGTCTTGGGGCCCTCTTGGGCCGTTTTGGGACCCTCTTGGGGCCGTCATGGAGGCTTCTTCGGCCGTCATGGGATCTTGGAAGCCTTTGGGGCCATCTTGGGGCCATCGTGGGGCCCTCTTGGCCGTCTTGGGCTGACGGAAGGCCGAAAAGGAGTAAATGCCAAAATCCTTCAAACGAAAACCTAGAGACAGTCAATGATTTTGGCGTGTGGGGGCCCTCCTGGAGGACCTCTTGCAGGCCTCCTGGGTTGTCTTGGAGGCCTCTTGGGGGCCTCCTGGGCCGTCTTGGCCCGTCTTGGAGGCTTCGTGGGCGGACTTTGAGACCGTCTTGGAGGCCATCTTGGACCTTCTTGGGCGAACCTGAGCAGACCATCTGGCCCTCTTGGTGGCCACCTTGAGCAGTCTTGGGGGACGTTTCCAAATGTTGAGCTGCTTTGCGGTCCCTTCCGGGTGGCCGGCGCGCTGGGCCGAAGCCCGGGGGAGTTATTTTGGAAAACCACCCGAACCAAGAACCGCAGGATCTAGCATGCAAGGCTTCCCTTTGATAAATCTTCAGGGGGCGGCGGATATGGCTCCGGGACGACGTCCACGCGGCTCAACACTGCACCAAGATGGCCTCCAAAGGACTTACGACGAACCCAGCCTGGTTCCAAGGTGACTCCTGCGGCGCTCAGGATGAGGCCAAAAGGGCCACAAGATGTTCCAATTCCGTGCTGGTATGCAGAAGGTTCAGTGTCGAACATCTCGCCGCCAACCGATCCGCCGGCCCCCTTGCGGGGCCATCAGGCTGCGAGGCTTAAGGTTGCTGCTCCCTGCACCAGTTCCAGTTTCCAGTTTCCATTGTTACAATACTGCTTTCTGCTTCGTACTGTAAATTGTTACTGTCCGCGCGAGGGGGGGAGCCGAAAAGTGCGATGGTTAGCATCCCACGGGAGGGTTCTCAGAATTCCCGGGGGGGCGTGGGACACGTAAAAATTAACACCCCTCACGCAGATCGGCAGGGTCAGGGTCCAAAAACACACGGGATTTGCCACTTTTCTCAAATTCGCTGGCACCCCTCACGCAGATCGGCAGGGTCAGGGTCCAAAAACACACGGGATTTGCCACTTTTCTCAAATTTCCTTACACCCCTCAAGCAGATCGGCGGGGTCAGGGTCCAAAAACACACGGGATTTGCAGCATTTTTCTAATTTCCTGGCACCCCTCACGCAGATCGGCGGGGTCAGGGTCCAAAAACATATGGGATTTGCAATTTTTCTGTCATTCGGTGGCACCCCTCGCGCAGATCGGCGGGGTCAGTGTCCCAAAACATCAAGGATTTGCCACATGTCTAACATTCGGTGGCACCCCTTACGCAGATCGGCGGGGTCGGGGTCCAAAATCACAGGGGATTTGCCGCATTTCGTAAATTTCCTGGCACCCCTTGCGCAGATCGGCGGGGTCAGGGTCCAAAAACACATAGGATTTGCCACATATCCAAAAATTCGGTAGTACCCCTCATGCAGATCGGCAGGGTCAGGGTCCAAAAAGACACGGTATTTGCAACATTTCTGAAATTCGCTAGCACCCCTCACGCAGATCGGCAGGGTCAGGGTCCAAAAACACACGGGATTTGCCACTTTTCTGAAATTCGGTGGCACCCCTCACGCAGATCGGCGGGGTCAGGGTCCAAAAACATAAGGGATTTGCCACATTTCTGAAATTCGGTGGCATCCGTGATGCAGATCCGTAGGGTCAGGGTCGAAAAACAAACAGGTCCCGACACTGTTTCACGGCGAAGCCAAAGCCTCATGACTTCGCTCTTCCATGGCCCATTCTCCGAGAGAGGGGGCCAGCGGCAGGGGGCGAAGCCCTTACAGATAAACTTGTAAAATACAGAACCTCCAAAACTGGTTGAGATTTGGGTCGCACACACTTCCGAGAAGGAATACGGGAGCGACGTACCCCTCGACTAATAAGAAATTGCAGAACCCGCCGACATTTCGGCGTGTGAGACGCTGTCATCGTCTTCGTCGTCGACAGTCCCAAGAGAATTTAGAAACGAACAAAAAAGAACAGCGCCGAAAATAAGTCGATTCCCTTCCCTTTCCCCTCCCCGACGGAGAGGTAAGGGTAAGTGGGTAGTCGGCGGTGGACACAACTCCCTTTAGTAAACCGCCCTTGAATGAAAACGGCCTAAAACCGAAACCGACGGACCTGGACCCGCAAAAACGACGGCCGCGACGCCCTCTCGCGAACCGAAAACGGCCAATTCGCTAATCGACGTGTCAGGGTAGGAGGTCTATCAACCTTCGAGGTCCTCCTCCTCCTCCTCCTCCTCCTCCTCCTGCTAGGTAGGTGTGCTCCCATTGAACTGGCATGTGGAAGCTTCGAACGCAGCTTCCTGTCGGCAAGAGGCCACGACCCCAGGGAAGGCTCGGAGGCGACCTTGCCGCGACGGCCCGGAAGTCCGACCGCCGGCGCCGAAGAGAAAGGGAGGGCTTACAGTCAGGTCGGGCATGTCCTCCTACAGGTAGATTTGGGACCAAAAATTGAAAACACCCCAATGATGCTCAAAAGTACCCAAAAATATGCTCAAAACATCGTCTCCAGACTATGTTTTTACTATTTTTGAATCTCCTCCTGTAGAGGGACATGCCCGACTTAAGCTTACAGAGCTGGGCTCTTTGGGAGGACAACGCGGATTTCGTGGACCAGTGCTGGGACCCCCCACACGTGGCGCGCGAAACGCGCCAGGGACGGCACAAAGCGCCGCCGGGGGGGCCAGTTCCCGTTCTGGACAATTTCGCTCGAAGCCTCGCGAAGAAGTCGGCTCGAGATCCCGGCCAGAGCGAGACAGGAGAGGCAACTCAGAGACTCCCCGCGGTTGCGGGAGGGCGGGGGCAGGGCAGGGGAAAGCGAACGGAGAGGGGGGGGGGAATGAGCCAGTGTCTGCCCCTCGACCCCCTTGCGGCTCAGAGAGACCCATGGGACGAGGGCAGGTGGCCCTCTGAGAGCGGTCAGGATGAGCGGCAAGGGACGACCCAAGAGGCTCCCAGGAGGTTCCCAGGGGGGGTATAGGGGGGGCAATAGGGGAGGTCCTGGGTCAGATTACCGCCGGCCCCCCGGGATCCCCTCTGCGGGGAGGAGGTCCTGGAGAGGTGTCCGGGGGGAGGTCCCGCCTGTGGTGGCTGAGGGTGATCCCAGGTCAGAATACCGCCTCCCCTGGGGTGCAGGCGGGCCCCAGAGGGGGGGGGAGGGGACGCCAGCGGGGATCCCCAGGGAGGTCCCGCCTCCAGGGTCGGCGGCGCAGGCCGTAAGGCCTCTATAAACCTAGGTGCTGGAGGCCTTGATCGTGCGAAAATCTACAACGACTTGCGCTGGAGACTCCGATCACATGAGGCAGGCCATATGACAGCACAGCGTTTCGGCCTGGCTAGCTCGAACGCAGCTGAGCACACCACAAAGCTGTGAGATTCCGATCTCGCGCATCCACCACGAGATGAATGAGTGTACCTCTGGAGACCCTGCTGATCAAAAGTGCGCCAGGCCAAACGTATGTGCGGCTCTGGGGATCAGGAAATTAATGGGAGCGCTGTTTCCTCTGGGCACGGTGGGGCTGGAGCTAGTTCACCTAGTTCGTTCGTCGTCGCCACCGATGATGTCGTAATGCTTATACTTGTCGTCCGTTCGTCGTCGCTGGCACCGTCGTCGGCATATTCGTCCACGGCGTCGTGGTTGATCGCCGCTGCCGCTTATTTTGCTGCACCCTATGGTATCGCAGTGCTAGACTTTGTGAGCGTGGGCGCCTCTCCCTTTTGAGCACCGCCGATGCTGATCAGGGAAGGACAGGGGGCTTCAACGAGCTCATCGTCGTCGTCCGATCGTTGTGGTCAATGTTTTCGTTGACTTTAGTTGATTCTACAACGAT